GTTTTGTGTGTGTGTGTGTGTGTGTGTGTGTGTGTGTGTGTGTGTGTGTGAGTGTGACTGTGCTATGGCACCCATGTGGAGGTGAGAAGACATCCTGCAGGAATTGATTCTCTCCTCCTACTATGTGGGTCCCAAGGGTCCAACTCACCACCATCACATTTTGGCAGCAAGCACTGTTACCAGTCAAGCCATCTCACCCATCCAAAGTATTACCAATGTAGTCTGAAGTTTGTTGTTTTGAGACTTTCCCCTTTGCTCTAAGGGACTGGATCTAGATATCATGCATGCAGCTCAAATGCTCTACCACTGAGCTATATTTCCCAGCAGCCTGTGTGCTCTTTACTTCCATAGAATGGAATTATATACAAAGAAAACATGGAGATGCCGTATTGTGTGTTAAAGGAATATATCCAAACACCTGGAGTGTCTCATCTACTGACTTCCTTATTGAAGTGACATGTCCTTTTTTAATACAGCATCTCACACTGTAGCCCAGACTAGCTAACTTAAACTTTCCATGTAAACAACGTTATCTTGAACTTCTGGTCTTTCAGTCTCTACCTCTGGAGTACAGGGATTAGAACCTCCAACAGGCCCTCTTATGAGATGTTGATGATCCAGCCCCAGGCTTTGTATATACTAGTCAAGTACTCTTTCAACTGAGCTACATCACTAACCCAGAGCACCATACTATACTTATTTTTAATTGATGCATTTTGTCGTCTGACAATGTTACATGTGTATCTGATGCATTCTGACTAATTTCCCCCACTCTCTCTCTTTCTCTCTCTCTCTTACTTCATCCTCACCATTGTCAGCCTCAGTTCTTCCCTGCTAATTGACAAATTCTCAATTTTCCTTTCAAAATCAAGTCAGATATTTTTTTCTACATAAGTTCTTAATTTTTTTCTCAGTTTATTTGGTAAAAATATCCATTCCAATATAATATGTTCCCTCTGCATTAATATTCCTGTAGGAGAATGCCTAGAAGGTAAAATAACCAAAATGCAATCCAGCTTTGGATCAATATGATCCACGTGCCCTTCATGTACTATCTTTTCAACCAAGGTCAATTCTCTCTCAGCTTCAGGTGATAATTCTCTTGGACTATTTAAGTTCTTGTCACCTTCTAAGATTTTGAACAAATTATTCAGTTCACCATTTTTTACCCCAACAATAGTTCTTACATGAGAAATGTCTCCAAATAATCTTTGAAAGTCATTAAGAGTCCATAATCGATCTCTCCTAATTTGCACCTTTTGGGATCTAAGTTTTTGTAGACCTATTTTATATCCTAAATAATTAATAGAATCTCCTCTTTGTATCTTTTCAGGAGCAATTTGTAATTCCCAGTAAGGCAAAAATTTCCTTACTTCTTCAAACATTCTTTCTAAAGTATCTGCATTTGAGTCAGCTAGTAAAATATCATCCATATAATGATAAATTATAAATTTAGGAAATTTTTTATGTATCACCTCCAATCGCTGTTGTACAAAATATTGGCACAGGATTGGGCTATTCAACATTTTCTGTGGGAGGACCCTCCATTGAAATCTTTTAACCGGTTGAGAATTATTATAAGTAGGCACTGTGAAGGCAAATCTTTTTCTGTCTCTTTCTTGTAAGGGTATTGAAAAGAAACAGTCTTTTAAATCAATAACTATAAGAGGCCATCCTTTAGGTAACACAATAGGCAAAGGAATTCTGGACTGTAGCGTCCATTGACTGAATTACTTTGTTAATTGCTCTAAGGTATGTTACCATTTTCCATTTACCAGATTTCTTTTTAATAACAAATACAGGAGAATTCCAAGGGCTGGTTGATTCTTTGATATGCTGAGCCTTTAACTGCTCTTTTACCAGCTCTTCTAAAGCCTGGAGTTTCTCTGTTGTTAAAGGCCATTTCTGAACCCATACAAACTTGTCTGTTAACCATTTTAAAGGTAGAGTTGTTGGTGTCTTTGGAATATCATCAGTTGTTGTGCTCTGTTCTTGTACAATCTGGATGGCTGGTGACCACTCATTAGAAAAATATCTAATAATATTTCTCTCAGAAACATGTGCTAGTTTATGATTTGTTTCTGAGATTGGAGGGATGTTAATCTGAGTATTCCATTGTTATAACAGGTTTTGACCCCATAGGTTCATAGCTTTGTTAGCCACATATGGTTTTAATTTTCCTCTGTGTCCTTCTGGACCTATACATTCAAGCCATCTTGCACTCTGTTTCACTTGAGATAATGTTCTAATCCCTAAAAGCTAAACATTTTGTAGCTAGAGTTTTTCTGCCTGGCAACAGTCAGGACAAATCTCTGTCACCAGCCAGTCCCACAGTCACTCAGACCCAACCAAGTAAACACAGAGACTTATATTGCTTACAAACTGTATGGCCGTGGCAGGCTCCTTGCTATCTGTTCTTATATCTTAAATTAATGCATTTCTATAAATCTATACCTTGCCACGAGGCTCGTGCCTTACTGGCATCTTCACATGCTGCTTGTCTTGGCGGCGGCTGGCAGTGTCTCTGACTCAGCCTTCCACTTCCTAGAACTCTCCTCTCTCCTTGTCCTGCCTATACTTCCTGCCTGACATTGCCAAATCAGTGTTTTATTTATACAGAATGATATCCACAGCAATGTTTACCTCTTGAAGAGGCCAAGTTGGATGCCAAAATTCTGGTGCAATTATGGTCATGTTAGCAAATGTGTTTACCAGACCAGACAACAAAACATCATTTATTCTTATTGTTAATTTTGGTCTTTTTTCATTTATAGAAGTTGGCCAAAAATTTTTCTTTATGGTTTTTCCTGTTCTCTGTGTCTCAACTATTCCATCACCCCAAGCAGGCTGGTTTATTCCAATAGGCATTTGGTTATTTAATTGCTCTGAGTAGGGGTTTCCTCTGTGTCTGCAGGAAAGTTCTAAACTGGATTTGCTTTTGGGGGCCTGCCTGAGGCCCCTCTGGGAGTTTCCTGACTGAGGCAAAGGATTATCTTCTCTGTCCCTTGTTGATTTACATTAGTTGGTCCAATGTTTACCATTACCACACTTTCTGCATACTCCAGAAGGAAGGAGCATACTGTTGCCATTGTTCCTTGATAAAACATTGTTTCTGGGAATGCCCTGTTTACAGTCCCTTTTCAATGTCCTTGCTTTCCACATCAAAAAACATCTGACATTACTCAAACCTCTTGAAATTGTTTCTCCTATCCACATATCATCATAGCCATGATACTCAACATTAAATGTGTCTCTAATCCAAACTTTCAAGGGTGCAGATCTTGCCTTTCACAGCTTGACTATTCTCTTGCATGCTGCATTTGCATTCTCAAAAGCCAAAGATTTGATTATTATCTGGCTAGCTTCTGAATTTGGGACCATTCTATTTACTGCTGAAGTCTGTCTTTGTAAGAAATCCATGAAGGATTCTTTTGGGCCCTGTATATCTTTTGTGAATGACTCAGTTTTCTTTCTTGCTTCCTCAATTCTGTCCCATGCTTTCAAGGCTGCCATTCGACATAGAATTAGGGTTTGGTTATCATATAAATATTGTCTTTATATTTCAGCATATTAGCCTTCTCCAATAAGCTGATCCTGGGAGATTTGCACACCTTTAGCCCTCCATTGATTTCCTTTTTTTAGCTTCATCTCTGAACCACATACGACACTCCAACTGGGCCCCAGGTTCCAGAACAGCATTTACCAGTTCTCTCCAGTCCTGTGGAATAATCTTATTACAAATTGACCAGGAGTTTAACATTTGCTTTACAAAGGGGGAATGCATGCCATGAGATACTATTTCTTCCTTAAACCTTCTTAAATCTAACATTTCAATTGGAGTCCAATTGTGCATTCACTTGACCATGGTTACCAGATAAATTAAGGGTGATTGTTTGAAAACAGGCTTTCTTTCTGCAACCTTATAATCCAATCCTGTAATAATTTCTCCCTTAAATTTTTCTGTCTGAGTCTGAATTTCTCCATAATTCATTTCAACAGGTTTTAATAAACCTTTTATCTTGGCACTTAAATTGACTATCATTTTAAATAGTAAAATAAGGATAAGAAAAGTAATAATGTGCATAATTGGTGTAATGTACATCCCATCAACATTAATCTTCTCATATAATTGTTCCATTTTCAGACTGCCTAAAGTTTCATCAAACACAGTCCAATTTTCATCTAATGTACACATAATACCCATTTTTTTAATGTGGAAAAATTTTTCTCTTTTAAGTAGTTTTTCCCTTTAAAATAAGTGATATCTTAATTGACTTACCAAGTCTGCATAGAACAGTAGAAATCCGAGGGAATTTCAAAACAGCTACCTAGCATCTGAGATGGGAATCCAAAGAGAGAGAGAGAAGCGGGGGGAGCCACGTACCACATGCTCCCGCTTGAGCCGATATGGGCCTGAGTTGTTTGTAGCACCAACTTTTTTTAAGCCTGAGCCGCTGCTTGAGTTGGCAATCCAGCTGCAAGTAGCTCCAGCTGCGGGTAACCACTTGTAGCTAAGGTCGGTCAGGCCAGGGGCCTAGGCCAAGCAGGGCCAAGCTGGGTCCTGGGGTGCTGGGGAGCCATGTTGGGCCCCAAATTAAATGTAATTCTAAGTAGTCTTGTTAAAGAAGAAACAGAGAGCCAAATGCAGAGTTAAAAGCCCAGAGACTGAGCAGCAGCCAAGAGCTAAGACTGCCTTCTTACCACCTGCTGTTGCTGTTGTCCTTCCCCTGAGAAAGAGACCTACTTCCTGTGTGTCTCGTTTTATTGACTTTCTGTTCTGCCTTCTCATTGGTTCTAAACCCAACCACATGACTTCTTCATCACTGCCTGGCTATATAAACCTCCAAGTCTCTATGGTTGGTACTTGGATTAAAGGTGTGTGTCACCAAGCTGGCTATGTCCTTGAACACACAGACTCTGCCTGCCATGTGATTTGATTAAGGGCATGTGCTACCACTGCCAGACTTCTGCTAAATGGCTTGCTATTAGCTCTGACCCCAAACATACAAACAAAATCACATTTCAGCACAAATAAAATATCACCACATTGTTTTGCTGGGTTAAGTTGTCAAAAATGACAAAATGTTTTCCACAGAGGGACAAAGGCATTTTGTAAAGATCTGTATGCAGATTAGACAATGTTTGCTTCAGTTTATTTATTTATGAATGTAGACCCCCTTTGTGAGAGAGCATTTTATGTCAATGAATTTGCTTGAACTTTTGATAAAAAGGAAGAACCTGTCATTTTCCTGAAATGACAACATTATTTATTGAATCTGCACAAAATATTAACACACATGAGGTCAAAACAGGTTGTGCACAAACTTTATGATCTGCCAAAATGAAGAGCGTACCAAAGTCCAGGTGGCTGGTGCCCTGGCCCCACCATCTTCCCAGGGTATAAACACCACAGACTGTGCACACTTGAGCACCGTTGGGCAGAAGAGAGGCCCTACAGAGGGTAGCACACACAGCTGGAGGGAGAACACAGGGGGGTACACTGCTGACAGGCAAGCCACGATGGACCTGACTTCAGTTCTCTCCCTGGAAACCTGGGTCCTCCTGGCAATCAGTCTGGTGCTCCTATACCGGTGAGTAACCACCAAAGATCCTCTCCCACCATAGCTTTGGGATTGGGGTAATACTCACACCTATATTGTGGAATTGTCTGCAAGGTCAAAAGTGGTATCAGAAGCAGGGGCTGGAGAGATGATTCAGTGGTTAAGAGCACTGACTGCTCTTCTCAGAGGACCCAGGTTTGAATCCTGCCATCCACATGTGGCTTACAATCATCTCTAACTACAGTTGCAGGGGATCTGATGCCTGCCACAGGCACTATGATAAAACTTTAGAAAGAGAGCAGAAGATGAAATTAACTCTTGTAAAAACATTTTAAATTACATGGATTTATTTATTGGAACTAGGGGCAGCACATGAGACTCTCTCTCTCTCTCTCTCTCTCTCTCTCTCTCTCTCTCTCTGTGTGTGTGTGTGTATGTGTGTGTGTGTGTGTGTAGACAACATTGGGGAGTCAGTTCTCTCATATCATGTAGCTCCTGGGGGTCAAATTCAGATTGTCAACATTGGCAGCCATTGCCTTTACCTGTGGAGTCATCTTGAAGGCCCCAAATGAAGTGACAACTGAGTTCTTTTTGCATTTTTTTTGCATAAGGAGGGGTCAAACCAGAGCCTGTATGTGCTAGTCAAGTACTCTACTACTGAACTATAGCCCAGTTATACTAACTCATTTTTTAAATTTTTCTTATTTTTTTTCATTTTTCTTTTAGAATTTTTTCTACTCACTCTCCATACTACCCACAAATCCCACCTTAGCCCTCCTCCCACTCCCTCAGTCTTCTTTGCCAAGCCAAACCCCCAAATCAAGGTCTCCTTTGGGGGGTCATCAGAGTGCAGCACACTGAGCCAAGGCATATTCAAGCCCCTCCCCACTGCACCAAGGCTGCTTAAGGCATCACACCACAGCTACCGGATTCCCAAAAGCCTGTTTATGCACCAGGGATAGATTCCAAACCCCTGCCTGGGTGGCCCCAAACAGTTCAAGCCAGACAACCATCTTCCATATTCACAGGGCCTAGTCCCATGGGGACTCCACAGCCACTAGTCTTCAGTTCATGGGCTTCCACTAGTGTGGCCAGTCATGTATGCACTCTTTCCCATCATGATCTTGATGTCTCCCACCTGCAGAATCCCTCCTCTCTCTCATCGATTGGCTTCCCAGAGCTCAGCCTGGTGCTTGGCCATGGATCTTTGCATCTGCATCCATCAGTCACTGGACAAAGGTTCTATGATGACAGTTAGGTTATTTGCTAGACCAGTCACCAGAGTAGACCAGTCCATGGACCCTCTGGACCATTGCCAGCAGTCCAAGGTGGGGTCATCCTTGTGGATTCCTGAGAGTCTCCCCAGCACCCTGCCATTTCCTATTCCCATGATGTCCTCATCTATCATGGTATCTCCCTCCCTGCCCTCCCACACTGTGCCTGTTCCAGTTTGACCCCCCTATTTCTCTATGTTCTCATCTCCCACTCCTTGCCTTCCACCACCGCCTCCATACCCGGTCAATTCATGTAGATCTCACCCACTTCTCCTTTGCTGGGTCATCCATGTGTCCCTCCTAGGGTCATTCCCTGTTAGGTAGCCTCTGTGGAGCTGTGGGTTACAGTCTGTCCATCCCTTCCCTCACATCTAGTATCCACTTATGAGTGAGTACAAACTATGTTTGTCCTTCTGAGTCTAGGTTACCTCACTCAGGATGATATTTTCTAGTTCCATCCATTTGCCTGCAAACCTCATGATGTCATTGTTTTTCTCTGCTGAGTAGTTCTCCACTGTGTATATGTACTACATTTTATTCAACCTTTCTTCAGTTGAAGGGCATCTAGATTGCTTCCAGGTTCTGACTATTACAAATAATGCTGCTGTGAACATAATTGAGCATGTGTCCTTGTGGTAGATGGAACATTCCTTGGGTATATGCCCAAGAGTGGTATAGCTGGGTCTTGAGGAAGACTTATTACCAATTTTCTGAGAAACTGCCATACTGATTTCAAGAGTGGTTGTACAAGTTTGCACTCCCACCAACAGTGGAGGTGTGTTCCCCTTGCTCCACATCCTCTCCAACATAAGCTGTCTTCAGTGTTTTTGATCTTAGCCATTCTCACAGGTGTAAGATGGTTTCTCAGAGCAGTTTTGATCTGCATTTCCCTGATGACTAAGGATGTTGAGCAATTCCTTAAAAGTCTTTCAGCCATTTGAGCTTCTTCTGTTGAGAATTCTCTGTTAAGCTCTGTAGCCCATTTTTTAAATTGGATTGTTCAGTATTTTGAAGTCTAGTTTTTGAATTCTTTATATATTTTTGGAGATCAGCCCTCTGTCAGAAGTGGGATTGGTGAAGATCTTTTCCCTTTCTGTATGGTTGTTTTATTGACTGTGTCCTTTGCTCTACAAAAGCTTTTCAGTTTCAGGAATTCCTATTTATTAATTGTTGCTCTGTGCTACTGGTGTTATATTTAGGAAATGATCTCCTGTGCCAATGCATTCAAGACTACTTCCTACTCTCTCTTCTATCAAGTTCAGTGTACCTGGTTTTATGTTAAGGTCTTGAGTTTTGGACTTGAGTTTTGTGCATAGTAACAAACATGGATCTATTTATGGTCTTTTGCATGTTGATATTTAGTTATGCTGGCACCATTTGTTGAAGATACCTTCTTTTTTCCATTATATAGTATTGGCTTCTTTGTTGAAAATCATATGTTCATAAGTACGTAGATTAATGTCAGGGTCTTGCATCTTTGTGTGGTTTGGGTATCAGGGTAACTGTAGCCTCATAAAAAGAATTTTGTAATGTTCCTTCTGTTTATATTGTGTGGAACAATTTGAAGAGTATTGGTATTAGCTCTTCCTTGAGAATCTGGTAGAATTATGCTCTGCAACCATCTGGTTCTGGGCTTTTTTGCTTGGGAGACTTTTAATGACTGTTTCTATTTCTTTAGGGGTTATTGGTCTATTTAAGTAGTTTATCTGGTCTTGATTTAACTTTGGTATGGGGTACCTATTCAGAAAATTGTCCTTTTCTTTCAGATTTTCCAATTTTGTGGAGTACAGGTTTTTGAAGTATGACCTGATGATTTTCTGGATTTACTCATTATCTGTTGTTATGTCTCCCTTTTCATTTCTGATTTTGTTAATTTGGATGCTCTTTCTCTGCTTTGGTTGATGTGAATAAGGGGTTGTCTACCTTGTTGATTTTCTTAAAGATCCAACTCTTTGTTTTATTGATTCTTTGTGTTGTTCTCTTTGTTTCCATTTTATTGATTTCAGCCCTTAATTTGATTATTTCCTGGCATCTGTTTCTCCTTGGTGAGTTTGCTTCTTCTTGTTCTAGAGCTTTCAGTTGTGCTGTTGAGTCACTACAGTGAGATATCTCCAACTTCTCTATGTGGGCATTTAGTGCATTGCATTTTTCTTAGCACTGCTTTCATAGTGTCCCATAAGTTTGGATATGTTGTACTTTCATTTTCATTGAATTCTAGGAAATAATAATTTCTTTCTTGACCCATTGGTGATATAATTGGGCCTTATTCAGTTTCCATTGATTGTAGGTTTTCTGTAATTTTTGTTGTTGTTGAAATCTAACTTTAAGCCATAGTGATCTAATAAGGTACAGGAGGTTATTTCAAATTTTTTGTATCTGTTGAGATTTGCTTCATGACCAAGCATGTGGTTGATTTTGGAGAAGGTTCCATGGGGTGCTGAAAAGAAGGTATATTCTTTTGTGTTAGGGTGTAATATTCTGTAGATATCTATTTAGTCCAATTGAGTCATAATGTCTGTTAGTTCTCTTATTTCTCTGTTAAGTTTCTGTCTGGCAAAGCTGTCCATTGGTAAGAGTAGGATGTTGAAGTCTCCCACTACTAGTGTATGGGATTTGATATGCGATTTAAGCTTTAGTAATGTTCTTTTACAAATGTAGGTGGCTTTGTATTTGGGGCATAAATATTCAGAATTGAGACTTCATCTTGTCTGATTTTCTCTGTGATAAATATGTAATGTCTTTCCTGATCTCTTTTGATGGATTTTAGTTTTAAATCTATTTTATTAGATATTAGGATAGCTACACCAGCTTGCTTCTTAAATCCATTTGATTGGAAAGTCTTTCATCAGCCTTTTATTTTGAGGTAGTGTCTCTCTTTGAAGTTGAGGTATGTTTCTTGTATGCAGCAAATGGATGGATCTTGTTTTCATACCCATTCTGTTAGCCTGTGTCTTTTTATAGGTGAATTGAGACCATTGATATTAATGACCAGTTATTGTTAATTCCTGTTAATTTTTGGTGGTCGTGTTGTATGTTTTCCTTCTTTGGTATTTGTTGGTTTGGGAATATCTATTGCCTGTGTTTTCATGGGTATATCTAACTTTCTTAGGTTGGATTTTTTCTTCAAGTGCTTTCTGTATGGCTGGATTTGTGGAGAGATATTGTTTAAATCTGATTTTATCATGGAATATTTTGTTTACTCTATCCATGTTGATTGAAAGTTTTGTTGGGTATAATAATCTGGGTTGGCATCTATGGTCTATTAGTTTCTGCATAACGTCTGTCCAGGATGTTCTGGCTTTTAGTGTCTCCATTGAGAAGTCAGGTGTTATTCTGATGGGTCTCTCTTTATATGTTACTTGGCCTTTTTCCTTTGCACCTCTTAATATTTTTTTCTTTATTCTGTATGTTTATTGGTTTGATTATTATGTGGTGAAGGGATTTTTTTTGATCCCATCTATTTGGTGTTTTGTAACCTTCTTGTATCTTTATAGGCATTTTCTTCTTTAGTTTGGGAAAGTTTCTTTCTATGATTTTGTTGAATATATTTTCTGTGCCTTTGAGTTGGTATTCTTCTCCTTCTTCTATCCCTATTATTCTTAAGTTTGGTTTTTTTCATGGTATACCAAATTTCCTGGACATTTTGAGTCACGATTTTGCTGGCTTTAGTGTTTTCTTTGACTGATGAATCTATTTCCTCTATCATATCTTCAATGCCAGAGATCCACTGTTCCATCTCTTGCAATCTGTTGGTTATGCTTGTGCCTGTAGTTCCTGTTTGTTTACTCAGATTTTCCACTTCCAGCATTCCCTCAGTTGTGTTTTCTTTATTGTCTCAATTTCAGTTTTCAAATCTTGAACTGTTTCCCATACTTGTTTAATTGTTTTTTCTTGGCTTTATTATTACTGATTTCTTCCCCTTTTTTGTTTGACTTTTCCTCAAATTCTTTAAGGGAATTTTTTCATTCCCTCTTTAAAGATCTCTATCATCTTCTTAAGGTCATTTTAAGCTCAATATCTTCTGTTTCTTCTGTGTTGGAATGTTCAGGTCTTGCTGATGTAGGTTCTGATGGAACCATATTAGCTTTTTTGTTGTTGTTGACTGTATTTTTTTCACTGGTGTCTACCAATCTCTTTCTCCACTTTTAAGCAGGGTCTGTGTCTGAGTGAGGCCCTCTCGGTCTGATTGATACTCTTGGTCCAGTGGGAGTTCTTTGTCTAGTCAGTGCTGATGGACTCTTTGTCTCAGGGAGCAGCTCTTAGTCCAATTGGCGCTTGTGGACTCTGTCTCAGGGAGTAGCTGCAATCTAGGCACATGGGTGGGTTGGGAGAGGTGGGGCTTGTGGGTTACAGGGTCTCGTGGGAGATGGTGTTAGTCTGACATGTCTGAAGTAGGTCTGCCAGCTGACTGGCCTGAAACTGGGACTGCAATGGGTGGTGGTGTAGGGATGCAGGGTTGTGCTCCTGGGCCCAAAGCCCAGGGGCTGGAGTGTTCAGGTATGAGGATAAAGACTCACCTTTTAGTCCAATTGGGTGCTGGCGGCCTCTGTCTCAGGGAACAGTTGCAGTCTCAGAGGGTGGGTGGGATTTGTGAGAGGTGGGGCTTGGGTAACAGGGTCTGATGGGGGATGGTGGTAGTCTGATCTGTCTGCAGGAGGTCTGCCTGTGACTGGCCTGAAACTGGTTCTCCAATGAGTGGTAGTGTAGAGGAAAATTGCTGTACCCCTGGGCCCAGAGCCTAGGGGCTGGGGTGTTCGGGTATGAGGATAAAGTCTCACCTCTTAGTCCAGTTGGGTCCTGGCGGGCTCCCCAGTTATGCTAACTATTAAAGTTCATATTGACAGAGTGCAAACCTGCTGGGCACACCCACATGCACTTTCAACTCCCTCTTTCTGAGGTCAGGAGGTTTTCTGATAAGATTTACTCTTGCTATGACCTGATTGACTTTCAGGTTACCCGCAGATCCACCAGAACTCAGTAGAAATAGATATGAACAGTGGGCTGCCATGCACACTGGACCCCTCAGCCTTTCCCTAAGTTCTTGGGAACTGGACGAGCAGCCAAGTTATTGGTTGCTTCATTTTGGTGTTTTGGTCATGTTTATCTCCTTTTGTGTGTGTGGTCACAAGGCTTTCTGTTTGACTTTACAGATATGGGACCCATAAACATGATGTCTTTAAGAAACAGGGAATTCCTGGGCCCAAACCTCTGCCATTTTTAGGAACTCTGCTGAATTACTACAAGGTGAGTGTTGATTGAACTCTGCATATGGCTTCCTTAATGGCCAATAATGGTTTAGTTATATTAAGTGGTCCTTGGGAGGAAATTCTGAGATCTCAGGCCTTATATTGTGTGTTCTCATGATATTGGAGAATGTCTACTGGTTCCTTTGGGGCTCTGTTGCCAACATAAAACTATTAAATGTGTGTGTGTGTGTGTGTGTGTGTGTGTGTGTGTGTGTGTGTGTATTCCTAGTTTGTATGTATGTATTTTCATGTGTGTGAGTACTCATATGTTTTCAGGTACATATGCATGGATTTGTGTGTGCATGGAGGGGCCAGAGGTTGATATTGGTTGTCTTCTTGATTGCTCTTCATATTATACTATGATACAGGGTCTCTCACTTGAACCAAGCTCTCTCTGACTTTAGGGGTTTTGCTAGCCAGCTTGTTCCAGGAAGCCTGTGTTTCTGTCTCCGGCAAGTCAGGACTCCTGGAGGGCTTTAACCCACTACCTAGCATTTGCAATGATACTGGAGATCCAAGCTGAGATATTTAGGGTGTTATTTTTCCCACTGACCAACCTTCACAACTCCCATTGTCAACTTTCCTCCATATTTATTAATTTTGGTTGAGTGTATGTGTGTACCATGGCATGCATACATAGATCAAAGGATAATGGGTGGGTAAGTTTTCTCCTTTTTCTATCTTATGAATCCTAGGGATGAAACTCGGGGTCATCAGGGTTGGTGGCAAGTGTCTTTTCATCCGAAGCCATCTGACTGGCTTTAATGTCAGTTTATTCAATGTCAAGTTTGCCTTGAGTGAAACACCCAGTTCTCCAGCCCATTTCATCTTGATATTCACGACATGATGCTCAAAATTTGTGAGAAAAAAGAAGTTTATTTCTTACCCAGTGCAGATTCTGGAAAGGCACTGTTGTACTTATTGAACAAAAATCTTTAAGGGGTTCCCAGCTTCAAGGACATCAAGCTTTATGCACTAGATTAAAATTTTCCTCTTTGTACCCGGGTTCATAAGCAACATTTTTCTTTTTTCTTTTTTCTTTTCTCTCTCTCTCTCTCTCTCTCTCTCTCTCTCTCTCTCTCTCTCTCTCTCTCTCTTTTGGTTTTTAGAGACAGGGTTTCTCTGTGTAGCTTTGCGCTTTTCCTGGAACTCACTTGGTAGTCCAGGCTGGCCTTGAACTCACAGAGATCCACCTGCCTCTGCCTCCAAAGTGCTGGGATTAAAGGCGTGCGCCAGCACCGCCTGGCTAACATTTTTTTCTTTTTACTAAATATTTCTGAATCATCAGCATATCACAGACCCACATAGACACCATTGGAAGATTTTTCATATACTTGGGTTCTCTACAATCACTGAACCCCTGAGGTTATTTCCATGGCTCTATCCCCAACATTCACACTTCATGGTATGTCTGGGTTCTTGAGAACTAGCGTATTTTGCTTCACTCTCTTTCTGTAGGAATGGAGGTCCAGGTTAACAATTGATTCTTTTAGAAAGATTTCACACACATAAGTGTGGGTTTGTGTACATGAGTGCAGTACCTATAGAGGCCAGAAGAGGGCAAGGGATTATCTGGAGACAGAGTTACAGATGGTTATGAGGTGCTGGATGGATATGGGTGCTGGGGATGGAACTTGGACCCTCAGGAAGATCAGCAAGTACTCTTAATTACTGAATCACATCTCCAAGCCTAATGACAAATTTTCTATTCTCTTTTGTTTTTGTGGTACTGAGAATGGGATCCAGGGTCTTCTTCATGTCAGGCAAGTGCTCTAACACTGAAATGTCTGCTCAGGTTTTTCTTCCTAAAGGTTCTATGCTTACTTTCCACATTCTTTATCACAATTTATTATTATTATGATGATGATAATGATTATTTCTGTACACATGCTTGTATCTGGTGGTATGTATAGGTACATGTCTATGAGGTGAATGCAGAGACTACAGGAAGATAATCATTTGTCCTGCCATATCAGTTTCCCTTATTCCACTGAGCCATCTGGCTGGTGCAACTCAATGTTACTGAAGAACTTTTCTCTGTCAGAAACAATAAACCTACTTTCATGGGATTTTAGGCTTTGGTTCCCTGGCTAGAGAAGGGTTGGTATATACAGGGCAATAATGGATTTCATGCTATTTCTCTTTCCAGGGTGTATGGAAATTTGATGTTGAGTGCTATAAAAAGTATGGAAAAATATGGGGGTGAGTATTCTGGAAAGGTCTGTGGAGCTGATCTTTTTAGGAAGATGCACTCTACATGTGCAAGGACAATGCCAGCCCAGGACTATAGTCATGCACCTCTCTGTTGTAAGGGTGATGCCATGTGTCATTAAATACCATGGCTCCCAGGTCTAATTATCTTCAGAACATTGCACATTGTGGCTTTTTGATAGGCTTTGGTGTTCCATGGACTCTGGACCTTGTGTTTTGCTGCTTTGTTTTGGTTTTTAAACATGGTTTCTCTGTGAAACAGCTCTGGATGTCCTGGAACTCACTCTGTATACCAGGCAGGCCTTGAACTCACAGAGATCCACCTGCCTCTATCTCCTGAGTTCTGGAATTAAAGTCCTAAGCCACCATCATCCCCAGCCAAGACTTTTGATAGTGGAGTATATCATTGTGTCCTGTCTAATTGAATTGACTTTGGAGATCAAAGTCAATTTGTATTTAAAAATCAAAGTGTTCTTCCTTGGATCTACATCCTTAATGGTCCTGTAAAGTGGCTGAGTCGGCAACAGGAACTGTTCCCTGTCATTGATGCTGGAGTTTGGCTAGATCTTTGGAGTGGGTGTCATCATATGCTAGTAGACACAAACAAGTGGGAGGAGGCTCTGGTTCTTCCTGCCTCTTCATGTCTTCTCCATCCTTAGGGACCACAGGCCTGAACACAGGGTCTGCTGAGTTGACATAGCCCATAAAGACCATGTCATTCAATGCCTACAGCAGGCTTTGCTGTCTGTCCAATGGCCCTATAAATGTCTCCTAGCAACATTATTGCTTGTCAACACTTGATCGTGTTTTCTCATCTTTTCACTGACTAATATTTATTTATTTGTTTGTTTGTCCACTCATCGTTATTTGTTCGCTTGTTTGTTTATTTGGGACATGATCTCTTTAAGTAGCCCTAACTGTCCATGTACTCGATATGTAGACCAGTCTTGCCTTGAACTCAAATATATGATTGTTTCTGCCTTCCAAGTACTGGGATTAAAGGCATTTTCCACCATGCCTGGCCTTAATATTGTTTTTTATATGAAACATTTTGCTTACATTTTTCATTAGGTTTTTTGTGTGTGTCTATGTGTACCAGTGAATTTAATTGGACTTACTTACAGAAGCATAAGTGAGCAAGAGCTTATCTGAGCCTTGGAGAAGTTGGTATATGCACCTCATTTAAAATCTGTATTTTCATTGTATCAAAACCAGGGTCTGGTGTACTCTAGGCAGTCTTTCTACCAGTAAGCTACATTCCCTAGCCCAGAGATTGAAATAATTTATTATTTTTTTTAATAATTTCTTACTTTTAATTATTTTCCTACACTTTAAACCACATACCAAAAAAGAAAAACTAGAAAGTACTTCATCTTGAATTGTAAATCATGAGAGTAATTATTAAATAATCATTTTAAGAAAATATACAAGAATGTGTTCTGACCCACCAAAAATACCTCAATTGAAATTTAAACAAAATTCACATTTTATTTAGATTGAAATAAACTGTACAAAATTGATCTTATTCACCAAAAATAACAGTAAAATTTTCTGTATTATTTAGATAAACCACAAAACATTTATTTTTGTAAGTTTTGCTTATAAATCAAGATGAGGCAGTAGACAGACATACTCATGTAAAAAGACAGAAGGAAACAGACAAGCCAGGAGCTGCCTATATGGATGGCCTTTGTCTCTGTCTTCACCATGAAGCAGAAGTGAATTTACCTGTGAAAAAGCTTATGAAAGTGTGGGTCCAACAAAGGAATGTAAACAGCAACAACCAAATGGGGA